TTCTCCATCCTGTCGGACCGCCATCCCGGCGGGTCCGGCACACTGGTATCAGAGCGGGAACGGTCCCCGCTCCAACCCGCCCTTCCCCCCGCATGCAACAGTGGGTGCGGGATCGGTGTAATCCCGACAACGGGATTTTCAGGTGTTTTTCGGTGCGGCAGCAGAGAAAAAAAAGCAGCAGCGGGAGGAGACTGACACGTGGCACGCGCCACGCGCCCACGCTGCCTCGCCAAGGCCAAGGCCGCCGCACGAGCGCGCGCGCCACGCGCCTCACGCTGCCCGCTGCCCCGCCCCGCTCCCGGATATATATAATCAAGATATCCGGGATGCTGCTGCTGCCAGGGTTTGAACCTGGGCAGGCAGCACTCATGCGCGTGCGTAGCCAGTGCTAAAACACACTGGCCAAAGTGTATGCATGGTTGTATGGTGCGGAACGTTCGTGTTGAACAGTTCCACACCAGCTATTTACTCCCCCCCCCCCCCGTCGGCGAGCAGCGAACAGCGTGCTGCGAAGCTATTTGCCCCCCCCCCACACACACGTCGTGGCTGCCGGCGCCTGCAGACGTGCCGATCCGCAGTGCCACATGGACACCTGTTGAAGACCCCTCTGGCCAGGGGGCTGCGCCACAGACATATATACATATTTTTTTACTACTACTCATTGTTGCAGCAACAGTGTGGCAACTGCTCAAGACTCCCCCCTGGCTAGGGGGCTGTGTGACTGTGGCACTAGGGTGGCTGATCAAGATCTCAGCCAGCCCTCGATCATCATCATCTCTTGTTGTTTTGCTGTGGCATCAGGCCACCAACACTTTGAAGGCCAAGATCCTGTGGATCTTGGTACAACCCTGCTCTTGGCCACCCAAGAGCCTGGTATCACCTTCTAACACTGACCTAATACCCCCCAACCCCTTTCTCTTCTCCCCTCATCACCTAATCATCTTTCCCCCCCTACCACTACTCTCTACCCCTACCTCCCTCTCCACCCATCTTCCATAACCTTTTTCTCTCCTCTCCTCCCCACTCACCATCTCTCGCTAATCTCACCTACTCCTCTCCCCCTTCTCTCTCCCATTTCACCACCCTCTTCTCCTCCTTCCCTCCCCCAACTACAACCCCATCATCTCCCCAATCCCCCACCTTACCTTTTTCGTTCTCTTCTCACTTCTTTCTCTCTTTCTTCATCACTTTTCCATCCCCCCCACACCCAACTCCAAATTTTTCTGTTTTTCTTCTTTTCTCTTTCTCTTTGATGTAACATTTCTATTTTCCTCCAAAAATTTGAACCATCTTATTCCCTACTTCTTTTCTTATTTTCTGATTTATTTTTTATTTTTATTTTATTTATTCTGAAAATTCAAAAATTTCTGCGGCACCTCTATATCTTGCTAGGACTTAGTCGTTCCTTGTTGCCGGCGCACATTTTGATCCCTTGGGGGTAGCGAAGTGCTGGCCAAATTTTTCCATTCTACTTAGTCTTTTTCTTGACGGCACACTTCGACCCCATGGGGGTAACAAAATGCTGCCGAAATTTTTGAAAAATTCCAAAACTTAGCTTCTCTTCACTCTCTTCCACCTCCTTATTTATTTATTTATTTACTCGTTTATTTTTATGAAAATTTTAATTTGCGGCATTTTGAAAGTAGTGTGTCCCTCTTGCACTTTCCTTCCTCTTGGCACATTTTTGACCCCATGCGGAGTGGGAAAATGCTGCCGAAAATTCCAAAAAAATAAATATTCTCTCTCTCCTCACTCTTTATATTTTATTTATTGATTTATTTCTATTTATTCTTTCATTTTATTTTTTATCGCGAAAATCCACTGTTTACTTTATTCTCCCTCCCCTCCATAGTTAGTATTTTCTTTTCTTGATTAGGTCGCCGTCACCTTCCCCTAACCACCTAAACTTCGGTTAGGGTTTCCTTAGGGTTTTTCTAGAGTTTAGGGTTTCTCTAAACCCCCTACTCTCTACCTCCTCCCGTCAGGCACCTTGGACCCGAATGACTCCTCCCCCCTCGACCGGATTCGCGCCACCATCTCATGCACGACCCGCTGGTCACGGGGCGAGCCGACCCACGACTACCCACTCCGCTCTCGCGGTCCGCTCCCTCTCACCGGTGGTCCTCTGTCCCCATACCACAACCCATATCTCCCCCCACCTCCCACCATGTCTACTTCTCTCCCCCCACTGGTCACGGAGAGCGCTACACCTGAGGAGATCGTCGCGGCGCAGTCCACATCCCAGGTCACCGCGCAGTCAGCAGCTCCTGGTCAGGCCCATGTGGACACCATGGACCTTCATGCCGCCCTTGTAGTGATCCAGGCGCAACTCAGTACGCTTGGACCATTGCAAGCACAAATCAATGCGCTTGCCCTTGACGTCCACCGCCTCAAGGGCTCCCCTCATCGCTCTCCCCACTGCTCCCACACCCCATCCCCTACCGGCTCCGATTCCGGCTCCCCAGGACTCCGGAGACGGAGTCACCATGGTTGCCCCTCCTCTGCGGGCCAGGCCCAGCACTCCCCCTCAGCGGTGGTGAGTGTTGCTGCCGCTCAGACCACCCCGTCTGTTGCGGCAGTTCTCCCGGTCACGGCTTCCCCTACCGTCTCTACTACTGCCATAGGTGATGCGGTCCAGGTACCGCCTTCTGGCCCAGCAGTTTCATCGACCCACACCGGTGTTGCTTCCCAGCTTCCCGCACCGGTCGCGGCAATACGGCTCCGCCCTCTTCTTCCTGCCTTCGTCCCCCCACCCCCACAACAGGGTGCCGCCCAGGCTGGGATTCCTCCTCCCACTGGGAGACCCACTCCGCCCCTCCACCTCCGACACCACGCACCCGGCGAGTGGCCACTTTACAGGCCACCATTGCGTAGGCTCAGGCGAAGATTCTCGCTCTGAGACAACCTCACCCATCAGAGGCTGCCCACCCTTCCTCCTCGACCACCCCTTCGGTCCCCATGATGCAGGCTCGTTTCCCTCGACCTGCTCCTCAACCTCTTCCCTCTTACCTGGCTATTCCGGGACAACTGCCCGCGGTCGTTGCCTCCTCGTCTGCTGATCCATCAGCCAGTGGCCACGGCCCAAAGCCTTCCCCCACCTCTGCCCCTGCGGCGGCCTCGACTTACGCCGCCACAGTGCACTCGCCTCGATCTCTCTCCCCCCGCCATCAGCACAGTGGACATCCTCCTGTGCGCACCACGGACATTCCCGAGTATGATGGCACATCCCGTGTCTCTCGCTGGTTGCAGATAGTAACACGTACACTCTCTATGACGACCACCCGTCAGGAGTTGTGGTGCGATGTGATTGCAACCAAATTGCGAGGTAGCCCTTCCACTGCATAGGAGGATCATTATACCCAGCGCCTCCGCGTGGGTGAGGTCCCCACTCTGGCCGACTTCGCGGCCTTCCTTCAGGACCGCTTCGGCGCCCGTCATGACACCACCGACGCCTTAGACCGCGTCACCCAGACCAGATGGTCCGGGTCCTTTGTACCGGCCGACCTGGAGCGTCACATCCGGGTGTTTCAGGACGCTCGCCTTGTTTGTGACGAGACGTTCCTACCGGAGGTCACACTCACCGACCGGTTCCTTGTCAGCCTGCCGACTGACTACCGCCTAGAGCTATGGAGGCGATCATTCTCTTCCGTGGAGCAGGCATACGAGTCTGCGCATCAATACCAGAGGATGTGCATTCGCTTCTCCGTCGCCCCATCCTCTTCGCGGCCAGCAGCCACCTCCTAGTCTCGGGGTACCACCCGAGGCCGCTCCTCGTTTGCTGGTCGTTTTCGTCGCCCGACTCAACCTGGAGCGCCATTCTCTCGGCGCTACAGTTCTCTCGAGTATGGAGAGGATGCCTCAGCCGAGCTCGATCCTACCATTGGGGACGCCCCCGAGGACATCGAGCTTCGGGACGTCATCCAGTACCACTTGGATGACGACACTGTCCCAATGGCCGAGCGCCTGCAGATGGCCATGTCTGCCATGGGTCATGTGCGCAGTCGGGTTGCACAGGTTGGCGCCCGCACGCCCACAGTTCCTCAGATAGACCTCCCGCAGGGTTTTGTCCCTCCTCGCGGAGCTCTATCCCCCGAGGAGCGTGCCGCCCTCGAGGCCCGACGCGGCTGCCTTCGTTGCCGCCAAGATGGACACACCTCCTCACGGTGTCCATACCACACCGCCCTCGATCGGTACTACGCTGATATTTCTCGCGAGCGCCGATCTCAGTCCCCCCCTCAGCCCCGCCCGGCCAGCCCGACCCAGCTAGCCACGGTGCAGTGTACCACTGAGGCCTCGCATATAGCCGGTTTCCCGACCACCGAGTCGCGGTTCGCCCCTTTAGCTACCCCACCCGAGGACCCTCAGGACACGACAGACACAATTTTCTCTGCCCCGTCGTCTGTCGAGGTACCATCTGTCTCCCAGCAGACTGCCACATCTAGCGCTTCTCCCGCGAGACTTCCGACGCGTCGCGCCATTCGCACAGCCCGTTGTAGCGCTCAGCTGGCGACTCGCGATGACGTTGTGTCATCTCTCCTGGACTTGAGCATTTTGCAGGCTCATCAGAAGTGACTCACGAGACACGTCAACGTCCTGCATCGTCTTCTCGCTCTACTTTCTGACCCTGATCGCACCCTACCCATTATCCCTATTCGCCTAGGGACATCTACAAGGGTGTACCGCGCTTTATGGGACTCTGGCTCGCAGGGAGATTTCATTCATCCTCGGGTGGTTGAGGAAGCTCGCCTAGTTACCTCTGGGTCCCGCTCTCCTATCTCCGTTACCCTTGGAGATAACAAGATACAACGCTTTTTCGATCAGACGGTCCCCGACCTCCACTTCTCCCTCCCCCTCCAGCCACCGGATAGTACCCAGGCGCCTCGACGCTACCATTACTCCGTATACTTCTATGTGTTGGAGACTGGGTACGACTTTATCCTTGGCACTCCCTGGTCTCGACGGTTCCGTTGCACAGAAGCCGAATGGGTGACCGAGACACTCGTTCTCAAAACGAAGTGTGGTCAGACCCATCGCGTCCCCTTCATTGGAACCACGGGCGACACTTCTCCCGACCTACCTCCCCGGAACCCTCGTCCCTCAGGGTCTCACCCCGACATCGCCTTCACCTCCCCTCGTCAGTTTGCTCACTTCATACGATAGGAGGACGTCACGTTCTACTCAGTGAACGTGATGGATCTTCTTCACTATGATCCACTTTGTCCCAAGGTTGAGCTCATCTCTCTGGAGCCCGATCCCCCTGACCCTTCCTCCATCTTCGCGGCTCCCATCTCTACGTCCACCCGTCAGCCTGCGGATACCCCCTCCACGTCCCAGGCCTCTGCGCCGTCGACTGTCGAGTCCACACATACGTCTCGTGACGACGCAGACGCTGAGGAACTCACACGGTTCACGACAGACTTAGAGCCGGTCGTTCGCGACCTGATTCGAGAGGACCGCAATGTCTTTCCCCCGTATTTCTCATACAACAGGATTCCCCCGATGCGCGGTGTTGAGCATTCTATCCAGCTCGTGCCTGACTATCGTGTTCACCATCAGGCACCGTACCGACTCTCGATCCCAGAGGCGACGGAACTCAAGCGTCAACTTGAGGAACTCCTTCGACTGGGTTTCATTAAACCCAGTAACTCCCCTTGGGGTGCACCTATCCTCTTTGCTCGCAAAGCGGACGGAACTCTCCGCCTCTGCATCGACGACCTTAACCGTTACACGGTTAAGAACAACTATCCCATGCCCCGCGCGGATGAGCTGTTTGACCGTCTGGCAGGCAACCGCTTCTTCACGAAGATCGATCTTCGTAGCGGTTACCACCAGATCCGCGTTGTCACAGAGGATCAGCCGAAGACCGCCTTCCGGTCGCGCTTCGGCCACTACGAGTTCACGGTGATGCCATTCGGCCTCACCAATGCACCCGCCACCTTCCAGACGGCGATGAACGACATCTTCAGGGACATCCTTGAAGAATACGTTCTCGTATACCTGGATGATATCCTGGTCTACAGTCGTACCTTAGAAGACCATCTCAGACACCTCCGCGATGTCCTACAACGCTTACGCAAGCATGGATTCTATGCCAAGCTCAGTAAGTGCCGCTTTGCCCAGCGCAAAGTGGACTTCCTAGGACACCATGTGTCTGACCAGGGTCTCCACATGAACGACGCGAAGATCACTGCTATTGCAGAGTGGCCCGTCCCCACATCTGCCAAGCAGCTTTGCAGTTTCCTAGGCCTCACCAGCTACTATAGTAATTTTATCCAGGGATACGCTAGGTATTCCTACGTCCTTACGTCTACCCTCCTCCGGAAGAACCCGCCGTGGTTTTGGACACCCCTGTGCGAGAACGTCTTTCGCGCCCTCAAGAAGGCGGTGACCTATGCGCCGGTTCTTCGCCTTCCCGATTTTGATCGTCCCTTTATCGTCACCACCGATGCGTCAGATTTTGCAGTAGGAGTTGTCCTTTCTTAGGTGTTTCCCTCTCCTCCAGATTCACCTTAGCCCCATGTTCCTCCTTTTTCCCCCTCTCCTGCCGACGCTGCTTCTCGACTGACGCCTACCCTCCCACCACTTCCCTCCACTGACAATACTCCTGTTACTTACTCCCCGACCATCGAGGAGGATGAGACTGTCGAGGCTCGTGCTGGGGATTGCCCGATCGCTTTCTACTCCCGTCAGCTACTGCCTGTCGAGATAAACTACATTGCCGATGAACGTGAGGTTCTCGCAGTAGTTTATGCTACCCGACATTGGCGTCATTATCTGCACGGGGCGCCCTTCACGGTGCGCACGGATAACTCAGTTGTCCAGGCTTTCCTCACGAAGCCTAAGCTTTCACATCGACAGGCACGCTGGTGGCGTGACTTATCCGAGTTCAGTTTCACCACTCAGCCCATCAAGGGTGAAACGAACCGCGTCGCCGATGCCTTGTCCCGCCGTTCTGATCACAATCAGGAACCCATCCATCTTGTTGCCATCTCCATCACCACTGTTGATCAGTTGGTGATCGACGAGTATCGCACTGAGTACCGCCACTACCCCGATTATCGCGTCATTCACGCGACATTGCGGAGTGGCAAGACCGTTCCTTCCTACTCCCTCGGGGAGAACGGCCTTGTGTACTGACATGGCAGATCTGGTCAACTAGAACCACGTATCTGTGTTCCCTCCACTGGACAGCTCCGCATCCAGGCTGTAGCAGAGTTCCATGACCAGGCAGCTGCTGGTCATATGGGTTTCCACAAGACGTTGGCTCGTGTTTGCCGCCTATACGTCTGGCTGAAGTCCAAGAACTTTGTCAAAGCCTACATCCTACCCGCCAGGAGGTGAACAGTACGAACCACCTTCCGTATGGGTTACTTCAGCCCCTACCCATACTTGAGGGTCGTTGGCAGTCCATCTCGATGGATTTCATTGGTCCCCTCCGCCCACCCACTCAGCGCGGTCATGATGCTATCTTGGTCGTCGTCGATCGCTTCATGAAGCATGCATGTATTGTCCCGTGCTACTATCGCATTAGCGCTCGTGAGGTCGTCGACATCGTCTTCGACCGAGTCGTGAGAAATCATGACTTACCTCAGCGCATCATCTCCGACCGTGACCCGCGCTTTACCAGCACATTCTGGCGACGCCTACACGAGGTGTACCGATCCCAGCTCCGCTTCTCATCATCTTACCACCTCAGACGGATGGTCAGACTGAGGTCACCAATAAAACTCTCGGTAATATCCTCCGAAAGTTTGTTAGGGATGACAAGCAGTGGGACTTATACTTAGCCCACGAGGAGATTGCGTACAACCACGTTGTTTCGTCAGCCACGGGGATGTCGCCATTCTATTGCGACCTCGGCTACCACACTCGCGTACCCGCGGATTTCTTACGACCCTCGCGGTTGCACCCAGACACTCGTTGCCCTGCGCTTGACGACTGGATCGCCCACATGGCGGCGATTATGAAGCGCGCACACAAGAGTTTAGCCGACACCCAGACTCGCATGGCCGCACGAGCGAACCGATCACGAATGGGTCATCCATTTAAAGTCGGTGATGATGTGCTCGTCGACGGACGCCACTTACAGCTTGAAGCAGATACGCTTCGCAAGTTCAGGCGTCGTTTCTTCGGTCCATGCCGCATCCTTCAGGCCGTCGGTTCTGATACTGTCGCTAGTCCGATCAGCTTCTGTGTGAAGCTACCTGATTATCTTCGACAGGCTCGCGTACACGATGTTTACCACGTCTCCTTGCTGCGTCCTTATCACAGACCGTCCGAGTGCTTCGCCGGACGCCCTTATGAGCGCCCTCAACCTATCATGGTGGACGGTCACGAGGAGTTCGTTGTTTCCGACATCATATCACACCGAGTTACCGACGATACCCCTCCACGCATCGAGTATCTTGTGCGTTGGAAGGGCAACCTTAATGAGGAGGCTACTTGGGAGCCCCTCGAGCACTTGCAGCACGCCAGGATGTTGGTGCGTGCATATGATCGTGCTCGTCGTGCTGAGACATCTGCTCCTACTCAGCCAACTGACCCTCTTCCTCCTCCTCCGGCTGAGGAGATTGCTGAGGACGAGCTCGCTCCCTCTGAGGTCGTTCCTCAGCCGCAGACGGTCGCCTCCGAGCATCCACAATGCACTCATCGTCGCCCTTCGCGTTACGATGACTGACACTCTTATCCTCTATCTTTCCCCACTGACTCACACCATCAGGTACTCCATCATCAGCTCTTTGTCAGGATGTCAGCGTTTTGTGGCTCTGCTTCGACATCGACTCCACTGCTACTTCATCGACGTCATCGACCACTTCGACGACTTCAGCTACTTTGGATGTGGCTACTTCACGTCACCACCCTACCCTGTATACTCCCTTGCCTCTGTCTCATGATGGTTCTCACTTAGCTGGGTCTCTTTGAGTTTGGCTCTCCCTTGGTATCGCATAGGCATTGGGACCGTAGCGTTATCTTGGCTTCCTTGCTCCCAGATCTAGCTCCCTCTCCCAGTCGGTGAGTTGTGTGCATGTTTCCCTCACCCACTGCCCTCATCACCCTAGCGTCGGCTATTGCATGTCTCCAATTCGGCATAGCTCCACCCTATTCCAGACTCCCGTTTCCATGGTCGACCCTGCATGGTGTCACCCTTTTGTCGAGCATCACCTGCCTTGATGGTCTATCTGTTAGGGTCATTGGTTTTGTTTCGCTACGACTCTCCCACCTTGAGCCTGGTGACCTATCCCACCTTCGTGTGTGACTGCCCTTAGGAGTTTCGATTCTTAGGTTGCATTCACCCCCTCTGAGACCATCCCACTCTTAGTGGTTCAGCGACATGACATTATCCTGTGACATATTGCTCTTTTCCTTTCAGCACTAAGGCCTGTGCCTCCATGACTTTAGGATTGTATCATACTACATTTCATTTTTTGTTGTTAGCTAGGATATGTATACCAGACATTTGTTTTTCTTTTGACATTATGTAGCTTAGGATGCATCGCATGGACTCCGCATCCTAGATTTCTCAACTTTCTTTATTGTAGAGTTCCGCTACTTTTGCGGATAGCGTGTTTATGGCTCTTGTGATCCATTACAGGTCTGAGGATCGTGCAGCGGACCTTCATTTGCCCTGGCCTACAGCCTGGGCCTATTTGGCTATTTGCCTAGTTCGGCCTGTCGGACTAGGCCGTGGCCTGACCCCACAGGCCGTGTGTTGTTCTAGTCCTGCCCTGTACCACTGTCGGTACCAGGCCAGTCCAGTCCAGTCAGTCAATTCGCTAGGGGTATACCCCAGCATTTGTCTGTTTTTTGCCATTCTTCACTTTTGCAGATCTTGGAGTACGTGCGTGTGGAGTCTGCGTCGGAGTTGCGCTGTCCCTTCCAGCTCTATCTCTACCTCCTCCTTCGTCCACCCTTCTTCTCCATCCTGTCAGACCGCCATCTCGGCGGGTTCGGCACAATGAAAAGAGGAAGGAAGCCAGGTACCCTACTACGTTACAAGGGAGTCATGGTACATACGTCTGGCCCGATGGGGATGAGGATGAAACAGATCCCGCAGCAGATCTCACAGTGGGGGGGATTTTTTCAGGGTGAAGAAAGAAACGGGAACTCGGGAAGTACAACTAACACAACAGACAAAGAGGGGGGCAAGACAAAACAGGGGCGAGAGCAGGACGCGGTGATGAAAGAAGTGGGAGTGATGTTAACAAAAGAGGGGAGAAAGGAAAGGGAAGCGATCTCCTGCCGATCGGGCAACGAGAAAGGAGAGGAGAGGGAAAGAAATCCAAAAGGGGAGAAGGTGCGTAAGGAAGGGGAAACGATCTCCCCGGGGCCGGGGTAGGGCGAGGGGAAGAAATCCAATGGGGGAAGTGAGGCAACAGCCCTCATGGGTGAGCAGGGTTCGGAACACGATGCAGGATAAGACCTTATGCATCCAACGGAAGCAGGATGGGGGGCAGGAGGCGCTGGGATCACAAACCACCGATCTACAAATACCCCTGAAAAATATCTCTCCTGCTCGTGCGTTTTTTCTCACCCTATTTCTGCACCCTGCCGAGAGCAGTGTGATGGATCAAAGGGGTAGCTAAGGAGGTTGCTGATCGGAACATACCCATCAGACAAACTGGTGGAGAGGGAGAAAATATATACACAGTATGGTAGTAACTGGGTATTTCACGATGATGCGGCTTATAAATCTCCAAATGAAAAAATAAAATGGATTTGCAAACAATTGGAAGAGATGAAAGGCAGTCCGAAGGTTGTCCAGGAGTTTTTCTTGATTCAACAGATCAAGAAAAACTGGGCAGTCCTGCCTGGAGGTGCTTGGTCTCAAGCTAGGTCCATGTACAGCCAGGGGGTCCAACGTTTGTAAAACGCTGGACCCTCAGGAATAACAAATTTTGACGAGTTTTCAGCCAAAAAACTCATTTTCAATTTCGTTCAAAAAATAAAAAATGTCCATTTTGACGAAATGGTCGTTGTGGTACCAGTGAGGAAGAGAGAAGGAAAATGGGAAGTAGGCTTAACCAGCCCGACGCAGCTGCAGCAGAGGGGAGTAACTTTGCAGGGATGGATGCATGAAGTCCCGCTATGGCTGTCGACTGGAGAAACGACTTTTCATATAGAGATGAAGGATTTACTTCGTCGTACCTACCAACCTGGAGCAAAGGCGGCAAGAAGAGTCACATACGACCGACACACTTTGGCAGATCTATACCTGTACGTGTTGTTTGAACCTGGTAAGGAAGCTGGCCCGAGATGGTTCTCACAAAGTGCGTTATTGGACCTCCAACTTCAAAGAATTAAGAGTTGTGAAAACTGGTATGAGGATGACATCCGCACTGCCCTTCTTAGGACCCTGAAGGAAGGATACTTACATACAATCGGAGGGAAGGCAGGAAATTGGGATTTGGTATAATACTATAATGGGGCGTATTGGGATAAGGGATGAAGGGAAGAAGAAAAAGAAAGGTGGCAGCTGAATGGATTTGACAAGGATCCTGTATGGGAAGGACAAGGAATGGGCGAACACAAAGAGAGAAGCGGACTTAGACCTACGCTCCCTAAATGTAAATGGTTTGGCCTCGGCCTCTCCCCAAAAGAAACAAACTATATGGGAGTAGCTGAGAGGGATAGAGGGGAGAGACTGGCCAGATGTTATATGTGTTTAGGAAACCCACCTCATGGACATGGTTGAACACCACCACGCTCACAAGGAGGTCTGGCCTT